TGCAGCTTTGGACTTGAGGGAAGTGGAGGCTCAGGGAGAGGTGAGAATAAAGGAGCTGGGTCAAGGGGGACCTGGAGAACAGGGAGCCCCTGGAAGGGTCCCTGCCTCCTCCCCACTGGGGTAGGAAAGCACAGTTGTAGGGGCATCACCCCTAATGTTATTTGGAGAAATCTTAGGGTGATTCAGACATAGAAAATGGGGGCTGTGATTCTCCCATGCCCCACAAAACCCTCCTCCTCCAGGACCTTCTGCCAGGTACCTGTTGTTTCTGCTGGTATTGTCGCTGCCCCCAGTGCCCGGCCCAGGGCGCCCTGCGGCAACACCTACAGTGAGGGTGGCTTTGGCAAGGACAAGGAGGTAGATGGGGAGCAGGGAAATTGCCTGTGAGGGGATCTTGGGAGCAGGTGTCACAGGGGACACTGAGGACCTGGACTCCAGTGACATCCAGCCTCTGCGGCTCCCTTCTCACTGGGACCCTTTCCCTCCACATGCCCCAGCCAGTGTTGACCCCAATTCACAGCTCCTCAGCACCTCCCCCCACATCAAGTACCTCTCCATTCCCCTCTTGCCCTAAGGATCCACACCTGGGGAGCTGGTACTGAGGTTAGGGTTTTATTGGAGGGTGAACATAAATAAAAATAACTGGACATTTGAGAGAAGAGAGAATCAGAGAGCTATTTACAAATGTACACGTGGGTTCCAGGGCTGTGCTCGTCCGCCTGCAAGAGCAGGGCTCAGAAGGAGGTGAGCAGGGCTGCTAGGACCAGGAGGAGGATGTGGGCTACCAGGCAGGGTGCAGAGCTCTGATTGCGGGGCTGCTGGACCTGGGGGCCCCGCGTCTGGCTGCCCGACCTGGCCTGCTGAAACTGCAATTCTGGGATGATCTGATGGATCCAGTTATAGTGGGAGGTAACCCGGATGTAGACGCCTGGGCGGTTCCGGCGGGCACAACCTTCACCCCAGCTGATCACCCCAGCCTGTAGCCACAACTGGCCCACGAGGCACACCAGAGGGCCCCCCGAGTCACCCTGCAGGAGAAGCAGAGGTACCATCAGAGCCCACAGGGGCCTGAGCCAACAGGTACACACGTACACGTACACACACACACACACACAGAGCTGTGTTCCTCCCTTTGGCCTCCCCACCTCCCCACCCTAGGACTGTCCCTGCCCAGCTCCTCTCATCCCAATGGCTGCCCTTCCTTTCCTGGCCTGGGGTGCCCATCTCTCTAGCATCCCCAGTCTACCTGCTCAGAGGACTGTGTTGAAAATGTATTTTCCTGAGTCCCACTGCAGACCTACTGACCGACGCCCGAGTGTGACCCAGGAATGTTTTTCCCGGCTGACCGAATGCACGGCTCTGGTCTGGACCGTGGACCCACCTACTGGGGCCCCATCATGCTGGCTGGCTCCCCCCTTGACCTAGGCCTTGGGAGCAGGGCTCAGCCTCATCCCAGCCTGACCTTGCAGGCGTCCTTCTTGCCCTCAGCAAAGCCGGCGCACAGCATGTCGTCTTTGATGGTTTTCGGCTGAAAGCCCGACTCGGCATCTTTGCTGTAGAGTAGGTTACACCTGGGCGTGTCAATGATGGGCACAGCGAGTTTCTGCAGGATCCGAGGGTTGGGCAAGCGGTCTGGGGAGGGGCACAACAACCTCAGCTCAGTGGGCAGTTCTTGCGAACCACAGCCCTGTCCCTCCCCATTTCTTGCTTGGGTTTCGACCTCTCGCTTAGGGCTTTGTGGAACAGATTTCCTTCTTTATCCCACTCCCCAGGCTGGGCTCTTTCTGCCCTCCTCTCTCCACTTTCCCGTGGCTCCTCCTCCTGCACCTGCTGCCTGTTTCCCATACCAACTCCAGCATTTGAGTAGAGATTATGTGTACCAATATCAAGAGAAAAAGACTGTTGGTTCAGCGGGGCCCCTAACCCGCCTGGGACCTTCTCTAAGGCATGTCCCCCATTCTTTCCTGCCCCTGCCCCATTACCTTGTTCACTGGGGCTGCCCCAGCCGGTGACCCAGCATTCCATGCCCGACTCAAAGATGACCGAGGAGTCAGGCACACACACGGGGAGAATATAATTGGTGAAGGTCACAGGTGCCTCCAACTCCACCAAGGCCACATCGGCACTGGAGGCCATGCCCTGATATAGGGGGTTGCTTTTCACCCGTTTCACCCGTGCATACATGGCATGTGGCCCTGGGTTCACCAACTGCCGCGCCCCCAGCAGGACCTGGTACAGGGATGTTTCAGAGGTGCTGGTGGGAAAGAGCAGAGAGCTGGTGTAAGGCAGCCCCTTGGGGTTTCAAAAGAGGAGTTGCTGCAGGTTAAATGAAGAAGGGAAACAAAGGAGTTAGTGTTGTTCCTTTGCTGCCAGACACCTCCCTCCTGGCATCCAGGTCCAGTGCCTGACACCTCTTTGCACAATATCTTCAGAAAAGTAATCTCCAGGGGGACACACATCAGGGAGAGGAGGTTAAGGAAGTATAAGCTAAAGCAGCTTTAATTTCTGATTTTAATTCCCAGCTCCACCCCTGGCCAGCTGGGTGACCTTGGGCAAGTCACCTATCAAGTTCTCTGTGACTCAGTTTCCTTGGCTGAGAAATGGGGACAGTAAAAGGCTTGCTGTGAGGGGTGAAGGAGTTGGCTGTCCACAAGGGAGCAGCTGGGGGACAGCCAACTGGGGGTTGGGCCCAGCCCTTCCCGTGAGCCTTGGGCAAGTGAACTACTCCCTCTGAACCTGCATTGCTGAATTTAAGATGCAGAGCTGTGGTGAGGCAAGAGCTGAGGTGCTTGGGAAACCCTGGAGGTCAGGGGCCAGGTGGTTCACAGTGTGATAGCAGGGATGAGCAGCCCAGCCCTTTGGTCAGGAATGGCATGGGTGACCTTAGACAGGGTGAGGAGGAGGAAGGGACAATCTCCTCCAGACCTTGGGCTCATCTGTAACCAGAGTCCCAGCTGGAAAAGGGAGTGTCCTGGATTTGAGGTGTGGGAGGGGGGATCAGGGTGAGGGCCAGGGTGTGAGAGGAGCCTGCCAGCATTTGCAGCAACAGGGCCTCAGCCTGGCCAAGCACCTCACTGCTGCGACCAGCAGTGGTCCTCCGGACTGGACTGCAGGGAGCAAAGGCTGGGGAAGCAGCCGTTGCAGTTGGAAGAAAGCTTCAAAGTTCCACCTGAAGGGAGGACTGGCCAGGAAGGTGGGTCAGTGCCGGACAGGTGGGAGGCGCTGTCCGAGGTGCTGAAGCCTGCGGGGCGCGGGCTCTGTCAGCAGTGCCCCTGGTGTGGGGAGAGGGCAGGGTGGACACAGGCAGTCGGTGGGGGGCTGGGGGGCAACTTACTTGGAGAAGCAGTGAGCCGCAGTGAGGACCCACCGCTCTGTGATGAGGCTGCCCCCGCAGAAGTGGCTTCCATTTCGCTGGATGCTGACCTGCCATGGCCACTCGCCCTCCAAGGCATCCTGCCCACCCACCATCCGGTTCAGCATCCTTGGGCGCCCGCAAACTAGGGGAACACAGCCAGGGCAGCGCTCAACGGGGGTCGGTTCCATCAGCTGATTATCTACCCCAACCCCACATTCCAGCTTCTACTTTCTGTTCAACTCTGGGCCCTCCCTGTCCCTGACCTGCTCAGGGACCTTGGGCAAGTCAGAGGCCTGGGCATCAGGTCAGCCTCTGACACAGGCATACCCTTCCCAGCTTTGGGAAAGGGCCCTGCCCCCATGGGCTCACACCCCTCACTTGTGAAATGGTGACATCATGAGATATATCTGATCCCATGTCCTGACAAACAGGGGCTCCTAGAAGCCCAGTGGGTGTTGGGAAGGTGCCACGCAGGGTGGGTGACCCCGAGGGAGTCTCTTATTGTTACAGCAGAATGGTCTTCAGATTCTTTCCTGTCTCTTTTTCCTGCCCCCATCTCCATGCTTCATGCCTCAATGGCCCACTTGTGCATCTGCATTGTGAGGCCCATGGGGGCGAGTCAGACCTGATGCTCAGACCTTCCTGTCTGAGCTGCAATTCCATTGAGCCACCAATTTTCCTAACTTTGGGGTTCCCAGTGCCCTGCCCATTTATTCTGGGTCTCCTTCTGGGTTAGTGTGAGAGCCTCTGGCCAGTCTTGCCCCTCTCAAACAAGCCTGCTCCTGTCCCCCCACCCAAGGGTCTTGGTGCTTACCGCTCAATGCTTTGGCTCTCTCAGTTCCTGGAAGGAAGAAAAGAGGGGATGATCAGCCAGCTTTGCCAAAGCCAGGGCCTGTTTCTCTCCTCCTCACTGCTGGCGAGTGTCACCCTCCTCTACTCCATACTCCGTCCCCTGAGGACTCAGGACACAAAGGGACCCAGCAGGAGAGGCCAGGCCTTCAGTTTCCCTGCAGCCCTCACTTCAAGGCCTTCAGGCCCAGACCTATGGATGAGCTTATCTGAGAGGGCAGACACTTTGTCATACAGGACGCTAATCAGAAGATGCCAGCGAGGGAACCCCATCATGGCTTGACTCTCCTGCATAGGGCAGGATGGCTCCTCTAGTTCCTACAGCGGTCTCTTCCTCCACACCCCACACCCATCCTTGTCTGGAAGCGCTGGGGAGGATCCAGCCTTAAGCCCTGGTGCCGTGGGGTCTGCATTTCCCACCTTGGACGGCCTGGAGCTGGGATAAAGGAAGAGTCCCTGGGAGCTGCCTTTGCATTTCAGAGGTCTGGACCTTCTCACACAGTCTGTTCTGAGGAGCACGTCTCCAATCTAACTTCAATCCTGAGGCTACAGCCCAGCCCCACAGGTCTCTCTGGTCTCAGGGGAGTAGAGAGAAGCCAGCCAGCGGTCATTGTGGATTAGTCTTCCCAAGATTCCAGATTCCCAAGAGCTGACCCCTCACTCAGACATTCCAGCATGTTCTGCAGTCGGAGCCCAAGATCCCCTGCTGGGTGATGGCACCCTGAGGTGGGGGAGGTGAGGGAGCAGGTAGAAGAGTGAGGCAAGGGCCATTCTTGGGGCCCATCTCCCCAAGATCCATTGCGCCCCACATTTCTGGCCTGCTATTAGGCCTTTAAAGGAACCTCAACCCCAGCCTTGAAGCACCAGCCAGGGCAATAGTCTCATCCAGTGCCGGCAAAAACCTGTAAATACCTGCTCCTCGAGAGAGGTACCTTCCCCCCAGCATATCTGGTTCATTGGGGACAAATCAGGACAGCCTCTCCCCATCTCAGCCCTCGGCATTTTCCCTGTGTCCCAACTTCTTTTGGGCCATGGAGGGTGGGGCAGCTGCTACTGAACAAGTCCTCACTGATCAGAATGGTAACTAGCCCCATGGAGGTGAGGGACCCCTCGGGTGGGAAGCACAGGGCTAAGCCACACATCTCCATGGGGTGCCCAAGGACCTTGGGTTTCTTTTATGGGACCCCCATTCTTCGAGCCAGACTCCTAACCCAAGGGGTACACTCCCCAGTGCTGAGGTGTTGAGGTTGGATGATGCAGTGAGCAGGGGGTGGGGGACAGCTACGGATGTGGCAAAAGGAGGAGGTGAGCACTGTGGGAGCTGAGGAGGCACAGGCAGGACCGGCCATTCTTCAAAGTAGGGGTACCAAGCAGAAGTGCCGGGCCAAGGTTGGGATCAGCCTGGGCCAGTGACTGGAACAGGAAGTCTGCCCTGGACATTCTGCAGGGTGCCCTTTGAAAATGCAAATGTCCCCTGGGACTGCTGCTCCCTCTAGCTCCCTCTTCTTAGTACAATATAATTTATTTAGATTGATAACACCTGTCCCGCTGTTCTTTCTAAGGCCTGATGCTTCTGCTTGCATATGATGCTCCAGTTCATCCCCCCTCCCCCAGCTACTCACCAGCACTAATGTACTTACAGGCTAGTTCCGTCCCTGTGGGAATTTCTCAGAGCCTTGTCCTGGTTCTCCCAATAGCCATCCCCCTTCCCGTAAGTGCAGATGGATCCAGGGTCCACTCCCAGGAGCAAAGGGGCCTGGCAGGACCCTTTTGAGGCTTTGCACGCTTCCTCTCCCCAGCCTAATGCAAGTCTACTTCTCATTCCCAGTGAGTCAGCCCTCTGGCTTCTGAGGATTTGCTCACAACACCCCTCTTCCTGGAGGCCCCTTTACTTCTGGTCTCTGTGGGTCCAAATCCTACAGGTCCTAATCCAGATTGAGGCATAAAAGCAATGCCACCTCCTCTGGGCAGCCCTCTTGCTTGCACTGACATCAGGGAAGCCTGGCTCCCTCTCCTGAGTTCTGTCTTCCCTCCAAGCCTCACAGAGTTCTGCCCACCTCACTCACCCTGGAGGTAGAATTGCTTGCCTCACCCCTTGGCCCAGGAGCTCCTTGAAGGCAGATCCCACATCCAGGGGCTGGAGCCCAGGGAATATAGAGGGACAGAGGGAGAGTGGCTATGGGGGTTGGCTGACCAGGAAGGGGTGAAGTAGAGACCTGGGCTTTGCAGGGTGGGTGTCCTGTCAGGGGCTGGGTGAGCCAGGAAGGGGGTCAGGCCTCTTGTCTGGGCCCAGGGCCCTTGCTCCTGTAGCTGGTGGGGGCTTGGCTGGTGGGGATGGGAGAGGCCCAAAGCTCCAGGAGCAAAGAGATGGGGGTGAGGAGGGCGTTGAAGTCAGGCCACTGGTCATGGCTGTTTGTGAGTCAAATGCAGGCCTCTGTTTCCACTTTGGTGATGACCTTGATTACTCAGCCCATCAGGAGCTATCACTGTGTCTGTGTTAAACCCCCTGATGGAGATGGGGTCCCTCAAAGAACATTGTTATTCTTATGCCAGGAGGCCAGAGGGGAGGCCTGGGGGGCCAAAAGAGGCTGGCTCTCCACACCGAAGTGCTACCCTGGTGGGAGGCCTGGAGCCATGGCTGAGCTGTGGCCTGGGGTGACCCAGCCCTGCCCTGGGAGGTGACTTGAGGACAGGGAAGTGAGGTGGTGGTTAGACTAGCCAGGCTAGCCCAGGAATGCAGGAAGATTTCCCTGGTAGAGAGTAGCCCGCTCCCCTGGGAGGGGCCTGGCAGGTGGGACTCCCAGGCTGGCACCTGCTGATCCTGGCCCAGGATTGGAAGAGGGGACAAGGGATGCAGGGCTTGCTCCTCCCATACCCTTCCTCTCTAGTGGTAGTAGTAGCCTGCACCCCTGGCCCTCATTCTTCCCTAGCTCTCTACTGAGTCCCTGCCAGCTTCCTGGGGCTCCCAGGCTCAGGTGGCAACTCGGCCTTCTGGGGGCCCAGCTGATGGCCATTCAGGGATTTGGAATCCATGGGCCCGATATTCATGCAGGTCCTATATTCATGCAGTCTGTGTCTTCATATGGAGGGTTGGGGGAGGCCAGATGAGAAACAGAGGCAACAAGCCCAGAACTTGGCCCATGAGTGTGACACAAGTGGGGGGAAGGAGCAAAGGTCCTGCCCATGTCACTGCCTCAGGGGTCCTGTCAGGCCTGTGCCCACAGTCCCATCCTGCCTTCTCCATTTCACTGCCCCAGGTAGGACATCTGGACCTTCCCACCTGCCTGGGAAGCCCCACCATTAGGGCCGGGAAGGGGGGCCTGTGCTGCAGCCCCAGGCCTGGCCAGGGAGTTGGGGACTTAGCTAGTGCTCCAAGCAGGGCAGAGGAGGCCCCTCTGGGAGCGGAGGAAAGACTTCCTGCCAACACCCAGGACTCACCAAACCGCAGCAGCAGCAGCAGTAGGAGCGGGGTCATAGCTGGCAGCCACCTCATGATTTCAGGCCTGATTGGGGCGCCAGGTGGGGGACAGCAGTGGTGGGATCTCCTGGAGCACTAGAGTGAGGTGCCGGCCTCCATGAAGTGGAGTTTTATGCTGGAGGTGAGTGTCAGCTCGGCTATGCCACCCAACCTGTCAGCCCAGCCTACCCAGCTCCTGTTGGCAGGAAGGAGGCACCCCAGAACCCCAATTCCTCCATGACCTGGTCCTGAAACCCCTGAATCCCAAAGGGCCAAACCCCTCATCCTAAAACACCTTAGGGTCTTGGAGCAAGGGTGCACCTGTCCCATTTGGGTGTTTGTGGCCAGGGTTTTTCTGCCTGCCACCATGAACTGACCAGACACCCCGCAATTGACCACAGGCCTCACATAAGCGAGCTGACTGCAGTCCATCCAGGCGAACTTCCCTGTTTCATTCATTCATATGTTCATTCATTCATATTTACTGAGCACCTACTATGTACCAGGCATCTGTGAGCCAGAGTCCAGTCTGGGGCTTACATTAATGTGTGTGTGTGTGGGGGGGGGCAAGGGAAAGTCCCGGTCACCTGTACCTATGGAACAAAGACGCGCAGGGGAAGGAAACAGGACGCGGTGGGGGTGCCCCCAGGTGACCCCAGTGCCCTTCATGGGCTCTACCCCCAGGAAACTGGGTCCCAGAAGCGCCCACCCAAACGTGTTGTCCCAGGACCGACCCCAGGGTGGCCCCAAACCCGGACC